GACTTTCAGGGGAGTCATTTCCATCCCCCAGCTCTTCAGCAGCAAGCCTCAAGGTGGAAGCAGTCTTATCGGCATTTTCTAATTATGCTAACTACCCATAAAGCGCGGTGGCAGGGAGGCTGTGCCTACCAGAGAGCACGCAGATGCCCGAGCCACCACCAAAGGCAGTAGCTGGCCTCAGCACCAGAATCACCATCATTAGCATAGGACTTCACCTAAGCTAATAGATGCTACTTCACCAGAAGGCTAATTAGCCAAAAACTGCTCTTCTAAGGTATACTGCTTCTCATAAGCAAGACAGTTGACTAGAGCTCACTCGGGTACCGCTGCTGAGCATCCCACCGTGCCGCACAGACATATCGCCAGTCTCATCCACAACTTTGAGCTCCCTGCTTGTTGCCAGCAGTATTTTTCCAGCACAGCAAAGCTATTGTACAGTGTTAGCATTACAGAGGAAGGGGGAGCCTCTTCGTTACCTAAACTGCAGTTCAGTCCTGCGAGCTTGGTCCAAGTGATGTCTCTCTTTATTTCTCCAAAACAGGCTCCCTTGCACGTGTCGGTCATGCTTCTGCACAGGAGATGCTGTCACCGTCTTTTAAAGTTCTGCTTTAGTCAGGAACTCCCCTGACTGGCCCTAAAGTACTCTCCAGATTGGAAAATTCTGCCTCTTTTACACTATAACTAAAAAAATATAAAATCAAGTGGTTGGAAATGTCCTGTTAACTGTACCAAATTATAGCAGCAAATGAAAAATTATAAGATTCTACTTCAAAGTCTGTAACGCAGCTAGTACAAGACACTTGCTAACAAGTTCCCCTTCCAGCCTATGCCATTCTATGATTCTATGATTAAAAGAAGCTATTTTTATTTTCTGCTGTAATTCTCATCCTCTCGTGCTTCTTTTCTCTTATTCCACCTTAGTCCAACGTGCATTTTGAGCTCTCAGGGATGCTACTTCACTCTTGCTTATAAAACCATCTTTCTACCACATCACGATAATAACGAAGATACACCACAATCAGAGGAATAAAAAACACTAACAATTTTCACTGAAATTAATTCCAAGGAGTACCAAATCTGCCCTCACTTTGCTAGTTGCCACAGATAGGATGGATACGGATGGACCACGAGAATTTGTCAAGAAGACCTTCCAGAGGTGTTCCAGAAGGGTCTGCTGGCCCATGGAGGTGTGAGTATCAAAGATAGCATTAGTTAAAAGGGGATTTTCCTCCTGAACCACAGTTTTCCAGTGCAAAATTAGAAATAAGATTCTATCCAAGCAGATTCTATTGATTGCACAGAGGAAAAACACCTAATGCCAATATTCAGAATTCTCTTTATATTAAAATAGAAAATAATTAAAATTTAGCCAATGTAAGTGTGGATTTGACTCACGGTGTTGAAAAAAGCCAGTCTGATACACAGCATGTAAGATCAGCTGCTGGCCTACATCCCTTGCAACACCTGTGCACCAGGAAGTGGGAGTTTTATTTGTCTCCAAGCTTCGATGTACTCCAATACGTATTTCTACACAACATACTTCATCAGAATGTACAATGAGGAGAATTTCAAGTCAGAAATTATAGAGGGTGAGTATATATAGAGTAGTTGTGGCACCACAGGATGCAACACAGAAGGCACTCGTTGTCAGAACCAGAAAACAGGAGGATTAGGTCAGTAAAATTCTTATTCTGCTAAATCCTCAAATCCCTTCATCTCTTCTCATTGTCCGATAAGGACCACAGCGTGGTTGTTTGCTCTGGGAACACCAATACGTGCCCTGAAGAGAATTTCATATTGAAAAGAAGAATCTTTCTAAAAAAACATCGATAATTTCTGCTCAAAAAGTAGAAAAGCAGTTGCCAGATGCCCTTTTGAAATATTTCAATACACATCACACCTACGTCTAAGGGTGTCTATTCACAAATATCTCCTGCAGTATCCTTCATCATCATATATTCACACTTCAGTCATCATTTACTACATCGCTCGTGCTAGTTTGTGTACTCATCACCTACAGTAATTACCTTAAAAGGTTACAGGCTTAACTCATGTGACACATTCCTTTATTACACTGCATTTGATCAAGGGTCAGATGTACTTTATTTTGCCCTACGACATTAATCTAAAATAATCTTAAAAATATGACAATCACGTGCGCGAGAACGATTTCTCAGATCACCTCTCTCCTAAATTCAAAACGAAGATTACATTTAAGACACAAACACACCCCGAGATGTTCACACGCAACATAAAAGAGGTCAAAGGAAAAAAAAAAAATATCACCCTGGTTATTTTGCCTTCAGAATTTTTAAATATTTTCCCAACATCTCAGCAAAATTATGCATTTTAAAAAGACTGCAGGCACTGAAATGATTGTCAGTCATGCAAATAATCACTTACTTACACTGTATGAGTTTGGTTTGGATAAAGCAAATTACCATTTGAAAATAACTTGAAAAACACTCTGGGCTAAGAGCTTGCTTTATAAATTTTAGCTTGGCCACAATTTTTCTTAACCTTTTTCTCCTCAATCTCCACTCAGTCACTAGACTAATACAGTCTAAATTAAAAAAAAAAAACAACCCAGCATTCAATTGCCACAGGTGCATTCAACATTATTTAAAACAGGATCTTGTAAAGAAATAGTAAATATTGGCTGCAGCTGAAGGTCAAAACCAAAAGAACTTCAGAGTTATGCAGAAGCAGTCCTTTCTTCTGCTTTTTTTTCCCTATGATAATATTGGGCTTTGACTTAAAAAAAAAAAAAAACAAACCCAATCTTACATCTAGAGTTAGTTGTTGAATAAAATTTCTAAAAGAAACAATAGAGCTGATATTAAGCCCTGTTTCTAATTACTCTGCTGAAAAAAATTTACAGTCACACAGTTGTTTACGAATATCTTAATTTTCTCCATCACTTCTGAAAATAGATTTTTTTGATGTAACTTCAAGTGCAACAACCACAACAAAAACGTGCAAGGTATCCTGCTTTGTGAGATGAGATTTAAGACAAGAGCAGAACATTACAAAGAGCACATGGTAAGACGTGAGATCTTCCTACTTCACCGGTTTGGGGAGCAGTCTAAGGATTTTACCCATCTCAGCATCTTCTGCTTTGGACAAACGATCACTGCGTGTATGACTTCAGACTAATTAGTCAGGTCTCATCTGACCTCATCTGCCAAGGCTGACAAGTCCAGAAGAGGTGATTTAACGTATGAGATGGGGTTTTCATAATTTCATCTCCAAAACTAGGCTTGCATGACATGACTTCCTAAATTATGCCAAAAACCACGACACTCTGGAAATGGCTCAATATCAAATACGCTGAGCATCCAGCACTACTTCCTCACTCTTGAAAAACATGGTCTCTAAGAAGCAAGAATAGATCACAGAATCATAGAATGTTGTGGGTTGGAAGAGACCTCTGGAGATCCCCCAGTGCCACCCCTGCCAGAGCAGGGTCACCCAGGGCAGCCACACAGGAACGCATCCAGGCAGGTTCGAAAGTCTCTAGAGCAGGAGACTCCACACCTTCTCTGGGCAGCCTGGGCCAGGGCTCCGGCACTCGCACAGTGAAAAAGTTTTTCCTAATGTTTTTGTGAAACATCCTGTGCTCCAGCCTGCACCCATTGCCCCTTGTCCTGTCATTGGTCACCACTGAGAAAAGCCTGGCTCCGTCCTCCTGACACTCACCCTTTACGTTTTTATAAATATGAATGAGGTCACCTCTCAGCCTCCTCTTCTCCAAGCTAAAGAGACCCAGCTCCTTCAGCCTTTCCTCATGAGGGAGATGTTCAACTCCATCATCTTCACGGCTCTCCTCAAAGATCTAGAGGTACCGACCTCCACTGCCATCCAAGGGACACCGGAGGATTGACTTGCCAAAAAAACAGGTTTAAAGATTTAACTTTAGACACTCGTTTCTAAACGATTTGCACCAGTGCTTTAAAATGTGAAGTTCTCTCACTTACTGACATGCAAACCTTGAAGCACAGACATCAATAGAGCGCACGACCCCAGCTCCTGCACTGAAAATCTCTCTACCCTAAACATATATTTAGCCTTCGAAGTAACTCTACAGACAAACTGGTCAGGAAAAAAGATCTCAAGTGTGGCCAGAACTTATTATCAGATCAAAAGCCAGATTCTTGCAGAGTCATTACAGTGCTTTCCATCCTTATTTCAGAAAAAAAATAAAAATGAAAATGCACCCAGCACCATGTTGGTTTTAAGAGTATAATCAAATTGCAGAATCATACTCTATTTAGTGCTGGTCCCACTGAAGCAAAGTTCCTGTTCAGTGGGAGAAGAGTCCCTTATAACAGGAAAAAACAATTGTGCCAGGTTTAATCAAAAGTGAAAAGGATCCAGCGAATGTTCCCTTTGAGCCACATAACCCAGTGCTAATTTCAAGACGGGCTCTGAAACAAGGGTAATAAAAAACGTCCTTCAGAGTAACCGAGGGAAGACTCAAGAGCAACTACGGCAGCAGCTAATGCCAACATCTGCAAGTCTGTTCCCAGCTACGAGGATGCTTCTCGCCTACCTGGAAAGCAATAAAAGAAGAGGTAGGGGAGGGAGGAGGAAATAAAATCCCCCTGCCACACAGCGAGAGAAATACAGCCTCTTGTCTACAAGCTCGTGCTATTCTCCAGCATTTCCTTCTCCTCCCTGACCTCCCCTGCAGAAATATATACAGGGCTGAGGAGCCAGCGACTCCATAACAAATAAAACAAGTGGAAAATTGCAAAAACAAGTGGGAAATCACCCACCCTGAACGACCAAGTTTGTACGACACGCACGAAGGGCAGGCTCGGCAGATCAGATGCTGCCTGAATAGCCTCTGATTATTGAAATACATTTATCAATTAGTGAGCTTTGCATATTATCAAACTCTTCCATTAATGATGCTTTAGCTGATTAGTTAGAATGTCACCATAAATAGAGAGTTTTGACAGGCTGGAGGCAATTTATGATGTGGAAAATGTACTGACCTGCTCACATCAGGAAACCTGACTGGAAAATAAAGAACTTGGCACTTTGGTCTGATTATTTTTTCCAAGTCCTTAGGTCTGTGGTCAGGAATCAGCTTCATAAATTTTCCAATGGACGTAAGAAACGATTCCATATTGAAAGCAGAGTTGAACACCACAACATCAGCAACCAAACTGAAAAAAGTGGTTAAGATTAATGAACGTACTGCTGCCACAAGAGGAACAGAATCATTTTACACGCAGTGGAAAATACACATTCTCAGGACAAACAAAAGGTGCAAGTGGAATGCGAATTAAAATCGGTCTTTTCATGTGAATTAGGAGTAGCATATTTACCCTAATCAGCAATGTCTTGATTTCTGTCTTTTCGATTTTGGAAATATTTTAAAACTTTAACTAAGTAATAAATTACTATTACTAATCTTTATTAACAGATAAGGCCCGCTGCAATAATCCTTTGTACCAAAGGACAACTTACCTTTGGTTAACCCACCTTCAAACTGACCATGTGTTTCAGGTAGCAGGATACTAGAGAAATGGAATGTTACTTTAACCTATGTGTACATAAAAGTATACATATCTATATATAGATATAGATAAAAAATACATAGTACACAGTACACAAACAAGGTTTGAAAACAGTTGGGATATTAATGTAATGTTTTGCTCTTTACTGCTGTGTTTTAAAGTCAACTGGATCAGTATCTTTCAGACGTAGTTAAACGCAAACATAGGTATTATTTCCCCACTTGGAGTCAGTCTAGAGAAACCAAGAAGCTATCAAAAACCCCTGAAATATCTGGAAGCTTATTCTGGAAGTGCTGGCACAACCTCAGCTGCACGGGCAAACACGTAACACTAGCAGAGGTAAGAAATGCTTTACGGCCGGTTGGTTTATGTTTTATATTGTAATATGTTATGTTTTATATTGTAATACAGACCTATGGGTCATGAGATACATAGAGGACACGTGTTGACCAGTCACCAGGCTGGTGAGAAGTATATTTGAGGTGAGACGCTGTCACTCAGCCTCACTGCATCTCACTGCTGTCTCGTCAAGAGGGAGACCTGACACTGCTCACCAAAGCAGCAGGAGTGGTTTAAGAGAAAAAAAAAACAACAACCAAACAAACAACATTAAAGAGAGAAATAATCCTTTTCAAGCAGGTTGTGGGAGCTGGAATGCTTTCTGGAACCCCACGCTTTTCCCCACCTCTGCTTTTTAACCCGCTGGTCTTCTTGTCGTTGTACAAATGACCCAGTCATCTTTTCTACACTGAATTACAGACGACGTGAGATGAGACAGGAGCCCGGCACCTTTCTGGCACGTACAAAAGCTTCCAACACCCTCGCCTCTGCTTCTCCTATGTATGAAGTCTTATCTGCCCAGTTTTTTCATCAAGGTTCTGCATACCGCTGGCAAATTCGAAAGATCCCAACACTGGCACTGCCCGAGATGCTAAAAGGAATCTCAGCCATCATTGAAACAAGCGTGATTTTACTACACTAAACTCTCTAGAAATATCACGGAGAGAAGAAAATATATTCTCTTTGTTAATGACCTAAGGCACCAACTAGAAGATTTAAAGTGCCGTGATATTAACTATCTCCAAAACTTTTACAAAACTGGAATTCTCATTTTCCCATTTCCAATGGATTTAGGAGACGGGAAGATGGCTTTTTTTTTTTCAGATGGCCACTACAGTTCTGAACAGTACAGAGGAGATGGCTTCTATTTGTGGTTAAGAAGCACAAATGGAAGATGAATATTATATAATTATACTGAGAAGCTACTGGAGTTTGAAGGAGAAAGAATGGAGCACCTATAAGAGCTGTCTTTGCTTTTCTTATTTTAAAAATATGTATTTTGAGGACAAACATTTGTCAGCTTACAATAGATGTGTGAAAAACTGCCATAATAAAGCTAAATATATATATATATATAAAAGCATTCCTTGCCCCAGCGCCAAAAAAAAAATAAAAAATCACATCTCTCTTATAACATCCAAAAATGGCTGCTACTGTCAAAAGATCTGTGACTATACCTTCCCATCTTTGCTGCTCAGTAAGTGAAACACATTGCAAATGCTGTGGCAGAAGCAGCTACAAAATGACTAAAGTATACACAGATTTCATTATCTGAGAAACTTCAATACCAACTGGCTTATCTTTTAAAGATGCAAAAGCCTAACTTTTACCTTAAAACGCTCAATCTCTATTCCTAATAATTCTCATACTAACAGATAGGTGAGAAAGATCATGGAAATGAATTTATTTCAGTTCAAAACAACTGAGTTTTGCCGTTTCGCTTAGGTCTGTACAGTGCCTAAACCACAAAGCTTTTCAGCGCTGCTGTTATTAACTTCTTTAACTCAGACTCGAGAAATACATTTGTTTTTAGCAACAATAAAGGACCGCAGCCTTTAAAACGTCTGGGTATTTTAGCAGTGCACAATTTCTGAATACTAGATGAAGGAAATGTAAGGATTTATCTGGTATGTTTACTGCCCTCTCTTCACGAGAAAAGTGCCGCAGTACATTTTAATTTCTGTTTATTTCCCTAAATCCCTCTATACAATTTCAGTTGGATGCGGTAAAAGCTATGGCCAAGCACGAGCTGATTAGCTGCAGCTCTGCAAAGCGGCCAAGAGATAAAGCATCTCGCTCACGGTCAAAACCGGGTGAAAAACCCCGCCGTGAACGGGGACACCGTGGCAGCCCAGCGGTGGACTTCATCAAAAAGAATCGAGATAGGTTTATAAAGCAGATTGTTTCTGCCACAGCACTCCTATCAACCTTTCTTCAGGACTCTGCTGGTACCTCGGTTCAGGTCATCAACTACATGTAGGAACCCCTCAAGGCTTCCCATGTCGCAAGGCTGTAGATGGAAGGGACGCCTTAAAGCGTCACGAAGCGCTGTGAGAAACACGTACCACGAAAGAATCTGGTTGTAGCCGTACTGAAAATCCCTTTCTTGGCATTTTCGGACAGGATAGGCCAATTGGTTCTCGTGGAAGTAGAGGACCTTTTTTAATTTGCCAAGGTCGGGGCGTAGGGCAGCCAGTTCAGCCAGGTTAAGCACCGAGCTTGCAAAGAGGGTCCTGCAAAACAAGGAGAGCAGTGTTTACTGTCGGTGAGCATGCTCGCAGGGGTCACCCCTTTCCCTTCTCCCCCCGCTCCCCTCAAGAAAAACATAACCCCTATAGGGACACATCAATAGCTAAGCCTTAATACCATGTAGCAGCATTCGAAGTTTTGATCTCTTAAAAAGCAGCTGCTAAGAACCCAACTAGAAAAGCACGGAATCTCATTGGTCTCCCCAGCTCGGTTACAGAGAGATGCAAAATAAAAAAAAAGCTGGATGGATTTTATTGAAAAAGGCAAGAAAAGCGGTATCTGAAGGACAAATGGAACAAAGATAAGGCTGACTAGGGAATACTTTGCTTGCCAGTTTCATTACACTTTACTTCTTTATGCAACCAACTACTGAAATTCAATATACGAGCAGGAAACACATGTTCATGTTATGACATAAACCCCTTTGATTTATGCAGTGCACTTATCTCGTATGGTCTGCTTTTCTTATTTCCCCCCCTCCCTCCCCATCCTTTTTTCTGTTTTATTTTCACATTTTTATTAGGTATCCTCTGTAACGAAATGTTGTTTCTTGCACTCCAGCATTGCTGCAGCACTCCTGCCATTCCAGAGCCCGCGACGTCGCACGTGTCCTTCAATTATAGAAAGTGAGCACGAACAGCACTAACAATCTCCTATCTCAGCCTCGTAGAATTTACCAGGATATCAGAAAACGAACGTATTTAAATATGCAATATGAAATCATGATCCTACTGTAACTGCATTTCCCCAAAACATTCATGAGCATCTCCTGGCTAAGGTGGCATTCGAGTAAACCGAACCGAAACAACAAAATACTGAGATACCAGGTATTTACTACACATAAAACATTAAGCTTTAATAAACAACTTTTCACCATAGCATGTTTCTGATTTTATTTATTTTTTCACCATCCACTTGAGTGGTTCAGATTCAGAACCGCTTTATGCAACAATTCTTTTCAAAACTTTTCCTATTTTTTTCCTGCTTTGATTCCTATTCTTTATCCTATTTTATTCCCGTTCTTCCTATTTTGATGGAGATTTTGTGTTCAAAATTACTGCCAAAGAGACAGCACTGATATTAAAAAACTTCTGATTCTGGCTGTCAATCTTCAAACTCATTAATTTCCCCAAATAGCCACATATATATCTATATATATAGATAACTACTGATCTCATCTTTGCTAACACACTTCTTATATCTAAGAATCCTTCTTAGATAATCTGTACCTACAGAACAAACACTTCCTAGAGAACAGATCCTGTATCCATCTTCATCAACCTGAGTCAATGCTAATCTGAAAGGCTCATGAAAGTAAGAGATGAAAGTCATTGCCTTGTTCATCAAATATTTGATCGTCCTAAAGGGACCGTCAAACAGAATGCCAATTAAGACACAAGCTCAGGTTTATTATGAGCCATACCAAGAGGAAAAAAATGGTTTTACGGAAGTCATCACTTATTTGTCACAAAGAGTAATAACTTCTGGACTTCGTAATGACCTGGGTGCCAGACTCAAAGCAGAGGCAAGAAAGCTTCCTACAGGCAAAAGCTCAGAGACGGCTGCAAGTTTAGCACCAGAGTGACACAAAAAAAATACAAACAGAATAAAATATGCCCCAAATATCACAAAAATGAGGTGAAACAGTCGCTTGGCAAAATTTTGGTTATTTTTAGATTACGTAACAGTTTATCCTTTACTGATTTTTCAGAAAATCTGCACTGAGTTCTGGATTGCTGCATGAAAGCATCTATGAACTTGTCTGCGTTTGAAGGAAGGGGAGGGGGGGAAAGATGGTACATTGGGATTAAAACATGGGAAGCAACACAGGGCAAGGCAGAAAAGCAAGAGTAGAAGGAGAAGACAGTGGGGGTGCCTAGATTAACATGAGAAACGAGATCCAAGATTTAAGCTTAGACAAAACCACGTAGCTCTGAAATATTTCAACTCGGTAGGATGGACAACACAAAAACTAGAAGAATATGAAAAAAAATGGTTTTATCTACAGGAAAGGAAAATGGTGTTTGCAGTACTGGCTTAGACAAACTGGAGGAATTCAATAGCATCAGGCAGAGGTGGAGGCTGGCTTCTTGTAAGGTAAGAAAGCCCAAAAAAAGCATTGAAAGCTTGCAGGTAGACCCCAGTTTTCTCCACTGTGAATGGGAAGTGGTGACACTCAAGCATCAAGAGAAAAGTGTTGTGATTACTAATACACTCAGACTTCAGGCCTGAAATGACACTGCTTGAGTGTCTTACAGCAAGAAAAAAAACAAAACATATTAAATAAAAAATTTAAGTGCTAATACAATTAGAAAACACCCTTCCTGATTTGCTCGTGCAACTTCACCGCCTTTCCCGAATTGAACGCGCTGAAGAGGAGATGCTCTCGTGCTTGTTTCTTTCCTGGAAGAGAAGCTGCTAAGTACCAGCGATAGCCAATTTCTCTGGCATTATAAGCTGAAATAACACCTGACAGCCCGAGTCCCCGCGAACATGCCCACAGAGCAGCCGCGGACGTGGCTAATGGACTCACGCAGGGCACTGGAGGATATGCTGGAGCGTGTTTCCACTTAACACCTATTACAAGGGGAAGAAAGGAAAGTTTATTATAACGTACCACGCCACATAAATATATGTCAGTTGTCATTCCGCGTGACATCAACTTTCATTTTACCTCGGGTTATTATTTAAGTAATAAATCCTAACAAGGTGAGCTTTATCATCCCACAAAGTGTATCCGGGAGGTAGAGACACAAGGTGATGGCAAGAACGCTCGGAACATGATAATTCCTGACAGCTGCTGCTTGAGCACAAGTTAAATTGAACAGTTTATCTCAGCATAAAGATGTTATAAGGTTTTATGTTTAATTTAAAAAAATTAACATAAAACCCAGAGAAAGCAGAGTTAGGCAATCTTTCACAAACATGACATACTACAATCACTGTATAAGCTGGATTAGTACTTATTACCATGCTACTAGAGAATTAAGCTGGTTTTAGACCACCAAAGAGCTTTAAATTGCAACTTTTGTCTCTGTAAGAGAAACCTATATTTAAAACGTCTGCTAAATTCAAATTAACAGCTACATCATTAACTTACCATCTCACAAAATCCCCCATATTTCAACTGCTATTATGGCATTCTTATCTAGACCTATCGCCGCTGCAACGCATAATATATACCGTACCCTTCAACAAACATTGCACAAATCCTCAAAAACCTGTGTTGAAGGTCACGTTTCTAACACAACCAGCCTTGCTCTCCTCTCCCAGATATCCCCAAATATTTTACTGTCTTACAAATGACCTTCTTGCACTGAGCAGGACCATCACACCAGCAGTAGCCCCACTGCCTTGGAGGCTGGCCAGGTTTCAGGGCCACCATCCGGACAAGCTCCGGTCTTAACGCTAAGCCAGCGCTTAATCTGTATCACTTTGCAGCCCTTCTGACTTGTGAGGAACTACTCGTGTGAATTAAGCACATGCTTAATTCATACAGCTATTCATGGGAAGGAAGCTGAGAGCGCTCGCAGGTTCAGAGCCACGATGCATCACGGAGAACATTCTATTTTACACCAAAGTACTGAAAATCAGTAAAAAATAAATTACTAGCACACAAAATGACTAATGCAGGCTTCCATTTATATCAAGCAAATTACAGAAGTAAAGGTGCTAAAGTATTTTTATTTTGCTTTATAAATCTTCTTCCTGCCACGGAATCATGATTTATTCTTTTATAGCACTGCCCTAAATCTTTCAATTACATTCCCATGTAACTTAAGTAAAACCACATTTTGCCTTCCCCTTGGGAGAACACACAGGGCATAATTATTTATCTATGGATATGGAGGCTGAACTTTCCAATTCACCGGGCTCGCAGCACAGAATGAGTTTAAAACAGCACCTGATTTGCACTGGAATATTCCTTCTATCTGGCAGAAGCTTTGCCAGCACAAAGGACCAGTGGACATGGTCACCCTAGCCCAGTTCTCCCTGGAAAAAAAGGTACGAGCACTCCTCATCCACCAGATGCAGAATTACAATAAAAGAGAGGTTGATTTGGGTATCGGCATGCTGGAAGAAGTGTCTGTGTGCCAATTGAGAACTAAAACCTTGAGCTCTTGGCGGCATCAAATCCCACCGTACTTCTCTCCCAGGCCCTCTGTTCTTGCTTTGTCCTCTGCTTTGTTCCTGCAGAGTTTCACATTATACTGTGTCTACAATTTTCCTGGACATTGCAGCTGGGAAGCCTAACATCAGAGTCTCTTAAACCCTCAGGTTTTTACTCCAAAAACAGTTTTACTCTGGGAACGGTTCCACAGGAGACCACGTAGACATTACAACCCAACAAACCATCACCCCCCAACCACCCAACACAGAACACAGTCACGCCAGGGTCAACATCTACGATTTTCTCCAGTTGAGCAGAAACCCACCCAAAATTTAGAGCAAATACACCAGGGAGATGAGATGAAGGCAAGCAGGGTTTGGATAAGAAGCACCAAATGCCACTCTGCTACGTTGTCTCCTTAGAAGTCAAGGAAGAGACGAGAGGTATGACCATAAGCACATCCCACCTTGAGAAAGAAGGGATTCAAACACAACAGTGTCTTCAAGGTCCTCAAGATCCAACCTAAGGGCTCTGGTTCCTCCACCCTACATCCCTTGATTTCAATCATCTCTTCATTTCAACCCAGAAATGCAGACAAGTCTATGGATTTAGCTTTAAGTTCTTTTTTCAAATGTAAACTGTAAATCAAATTGCATTATTAATGCTGAGAATTTTAAACAGACCAGTTATTTTTTTTTTTTCCACACACATTTTTAGACAATCAGCTTGCAGAAGCTGCATTTTTATCACCGGACCAAGAATACACAACTTGCAATTGGATATAAAATGCTTTTCCATTTCCCGTTAAACAATAGATGACTCTGAATTTCTGAACAATAAATACTAATAAGTGATAATGTATGACAGTATACA